CTAGCGGGAGAGAATATGCTTCCCAGCCCTGCTTACGGGCCAGGCTCAGGGCTGCCTCTGAGCCCACCCATGAGGCAGTAACCAAAGGGTGAGCCCTGGAAACACCACCTCAGGATCCCTGACTAGGGTTAAAAAGTGGAAAAAATGTGCTATTGTGTTTTACTAATTTCGATGTGATTTTAGGACACATTGCCATAATGCGTAATGTCCTAATAATGATTGCCTTCCATAACCTCAGTGAGATTAAGGCAACTACTGGTAAATACACACACATATAATATGTAACCTGTTAAGATATCCAAGCACCTCGGACTCCACACCAAGAATTCCATCTGGGGAGGCTGTTCTCTGGGCAGAAGCGACTAGCTTTGGGACAGGCATCCTGGAGCTGTAAAGGAGGAAAGAGATGTCTTGCCAGTCAGGATATTTGGCCGAATCACTCTGGGCACTGTCTGAGGGGCAGATGTCTCTGCTGACCAAATTGTTCTCCCACCTGAAGTTATCAACTAAGTTACCCCTGAAATCCTATTGTACATATTTTGAGAAAGAAAATACACAGATGAATAGTAAAGTGCCTACTTAACAGGGTTTGAAAGAAGTAGATTGTGCCTAAAAGACACCAGACTTTTCCAGGAAAGGATACAAGAACAGCAAAAACCACAATGAGATATTACCTTACCTCTGTCAGAATGGCCATTATCAAAAAGTCAAAAAACAATAGATGTTGGCATGGAAGCAGTAAAAAGGGAACACTTACTCACTGTTGGTAGGAATGTAAATTAGTGCAACCTTTATGGAAAACAGTATGGAGATTCCTCAACTAAAAGTAGACCTACCATTCGATACAGCAATCCCACTACTGGGTATCTACCCAAAGGAAAATAAGTCATTGTATCAAAAAGACAGGTGCACTTGTATGTTTATTGCCCTGCAATTCACAATTGCAAGGATATGGAATCAGCCTAAGTGCCCAGCAACTGATGAGTGGATAAAGAAAATGTGGTATATATAATATTAATACATACCATGGAGTACTACTCAGCCATAAAAAAGAATGAAATAATGTCTTTAGTAGCAACTTGGATGGAACTGGAAGCTATAATCCTAAGTGAAGTATCTCACGAATGGAAAAACAAAGACCACATGTTCTCACTTATAAGTGGGAGCTGAATGATGCGTATACATGGTCACACAGATTGTTATAAGGGACTTTGGAGACTCAGAAAGGGGGAGGGGGAGGGATTAAAAACTACCTATTGGGTACCATGTATACTATTTGGGTGACGGGTTCACTAAAAACCCTGGCTTTGTCACTATACAATTCATCCATGTTCCAAAAAACTACTTGTACCCCTTAAATCTATTGAAATAAAAAAATTTTAAGAAAAGACACCAGGCTTTTAATAAAGGCTTAAAAGGTAAAAGTGCACATCACCTCACACCCATTAGGATGGCTACTATGAAAGAAAGAAAGACAGAAAGAAAGAAAGAAACAAAAAGAAGGAAGGAGTTGGTAAGGATGGGGATATTGGAACACTTGTCCATGGTTAGCGGAAATGTAGAATGGTACAGCTGCTATGGAAAGCAGTATGGTGATTCCTCAAAAAATTAAAAAAGGAATTACTATATGATCCAGCAATTCTACTTCTGGACATATAACTACACGAATTGAAAGCAGGGTCTTAGAGAGATATTTACACATCCATTTTCATAGCAGCATGATTCACTAGCCAAAGGGTGGAAGCAACCAAAGCGTACATTGACAGATGAATGGGTAACTCAAATGCAGTCTGTATGCACAACGATCTATGATTCAGCCTTAAAAAAGAATGAAATTCTGACATATTCTACAGCATGAATGAACTTCAAGACATTACGCTAAGTGAAATAAGCCAGACACAAAAAGACAATATTGTACCATTCCACTTATATGACATCAAAATCCCAGAAAAAGACAGTAGAATGGCAGCCACTGGGAGCTAGGAGGAGGGGAATGCGAGTTATTGTTTAATGGGTAGGGAGTTTTAGTTTTGCAAGATGACAAAGTTCTGGAGAGCTTCAAGTGATAATGACGTGTCAATGTAGGTTCACCAGTTGTAACAAATGCACCACTCTGGTGGGGGATGTCAATAGTGAGAGAGGCTGCGCTCCTGTGGGGCAGGGCGTATATAGAACTCTCCACATTTTGCGCTCAGTTTTGCTATGGACCTAAAACTGCCCCGAAAAAATGAAGTTCAATAATAATAATAAAGGCTGGGCGCGGTGGTTTCACGCCTGTAATCCTAGCATTTTGGGAGGCCAAGGCAAGAGGATCACTTGAAATCAGGAGTTCGAGACCAGCTTGAGCAAGAGCGAGACCTCATCTCTACAAAAAACAGAAAAATTAGCCAGGCCTAGTGGTGTGTGCCTGTAGTCCCTGCTATTCGGGAGGCTGAGGCAGGAGGATCACTTGAGCCCAGGAGTTGGCGGCTGCAGTGAGCTATGATGACGCCACTGCACTCTGGCCCAGGCAACAGAGCGAGACTCTGTCTCAAAAATTAATGAATTAATGAATAATAATAATAATTTCTGGAAATGGATGGTGGTGATAGTTGCACAACAATGTGAATGTACTTAATACTATTGAAAACTGCATACTTAAAAATGGTTAAGATGGTAAATTTTATGTGTATTTTACCACAATTAAAAATTAAAAATAAATAAAGTAAAAAAACAAAAGGCAGATGGAGGCAATGGGCTAGAAAGGGACAGTAATTTAGGAACCAGAGAGTACTGTGCATTTAGAAATGTCATAAAAAGAAGTTACAGTAATTTTTTAAATATATTTTTAAAGTATTTTATTTATTTACTTTTCTTTTTTTTGGAATGTGTACAGCCTTTGCAAAATATATTTTATCTTAACAAAAATTTACTTCTAATTTTAAAATCAAATTTATTTATTTATTTTTACTTTTTGTAGAGATGGGGTTCTCTCTCTGTTGCCCAGGCTGGTCTTGAACCCCTGGCCTCAACTTGGCTTCCCAAAGTGCTGGGATTACCACCACCGCACCCAGTGTAAAAACAAATTTAAATAAAAGTTCACAGAAAAGAATGCTTCATGAGGCAAGGCAGTGGGAAGAAAGCAGAGACAAATAAACATTTTAGGACCTTTGTTCTGAATGGAACATCACTGGAGGTCTGAAGGGGACAGTCAGGATGGAGGGAGGCGGGTTCAAAGGAGGGAACTCAGCCCTCCCCTAGGATCCAGGTGAATCGCTGTTGCTGTTCTGAATCATCCAGGTAGGAAAGTGGTTATTTTTTAGGCTGGGAAACTGTGAAGGAAGATTATGAAGCCAGTGTTTTGTTCCTTCCATCCCTAAGAACCTTTTGACCACCAGTCACTCTTGAAACCATTAGGTGCAAGCAGAAGAGGACCAAAAAAATTGGAGAAAGATGTGGAAATGTCAGACGCAGATCTGACATCATTTGCTTTTCACTTTTCAGCAGTGAGGAAATCTGTGAGCAACGTTCCCATCCATGTCCAATGCTTTGCATGGTCCCAAACAGAAACCCCTAAAGGAGGATGGCACGCAGGAAAAGTGTGTGTGCAGCGGGGCCCTGACGCAGGGAGGCTGGGGTGACGGCAGCCTGACAGGACCCATTTGTCCGGATGAGACAAACCCCTCAGAGCAAGCTCCAAGGTCAGTGCTGCCGTCAAGGGAAAACCAGAGCTGGACAGTAGTTAAAGCAGTAAAAATAGTTCCATTCAGGACTATTGCAACAGGGAAAAGGGACCTCGATGTAGAACTGGGCTCAAATGAGAACACAACATGAGCAAGTGGGACTTTATAGCCAAAGAGCAGGGTCAGGGTGGGTGGGTAGAAACTTACTAAGAGTTAATTATTAATACATCAGGTGTAGGGGGGATTCTAGCTAAACCCACTCAGAACATGGAAATAAACATACGATGCAGTTTCTCCCACTATAATCTCACAACGCATTTCTGACACCAGATGTGGGGGGGGTTCCCCACCCATCAAGCAAGTGATCACTTCTGCAGTGGACACCAGCTCAGTGTCCTACAATTCGATTCCATTCTGACACTATCTACTTGGAGATAGCGTCAGGTCCCACAGGGTGAGGGCTCAGTCCCCAAGTCTGCCCCCCACTTCCAACCGTTGCAAGCCCCGGGTTGTTTTACGCGTGCTTCTGACTGACCATCAATGCATCAGGGTTCCCACGACCCCTCCTCGAATCCGACTAACTTGCTGGAGCGGCTCACAGAACCCAGGGAACCACTTTGCTTACATTGAGCGGTTTGTTACAAAGGATTGCAAAGGTACAGGGGGAAGAGATGTGTAGAGAAGGCATGTGGGAGCGGATGCGGAGCTTCCATGCCCTCTCCTGGCATGCCGCCCTGATCTTTTGGGTTTTTATGGAGGCTTCATTACGAACACAGGATTGAGGACATCATTGGCCACTGGTCATGGACTTTACCTTCAGCCCCTTTCTCCTCCCCACTGGTTGGGGGGCGGGGCTGGAAGTCTCAACCCTCTAACCTTGCCTTGGTCTTTCTAGTGACCGGTCCCTATCCTGAAGCTGCCCAGGGGCTGCCAGCCACCGGCCGCTCACAGCAGGCCACCAGTGCTCCCTCAGTGAGAGTAGAACCCGCGGGGAGTGAGGAGGAAAGAGGGGACGTGGACCTAAAACTACACGAAAAGAGAATGTACACGCAGCAAATGCCCTGCTGCCCCGTGGAGCCGCCAGGCCCGCAGGAAGGTGACAGGCCCGGCCCCCACCCCATCTCAGGTCACTGCCGGTTCCAGTGTCAGGCCGATCCTGCCATCCGCGCGGCCTGAGAAGGCGCCAGGCCAGGACCTTCCGCGCCCGGGTACCTTCCCCGGCGCGCCCGGGGCTCCAGGTGGGGGAGGCGACGAGGGAGCGCGGCGTGGCCACGGGGTGGGCCGGGGCGGGGCGAGGCCGCGCGGTCTGGGCGGGGTCTGCGCCGGCGCCGGTCGGGCCGGGCGCTCCGCCAGCGGCGTGAACTGTGCGGGGCGCCGCGGCGGAGCAGGTGAGCGCGCGGGCCAGGCCCTGTCGCCCGCGGCGCGGAAGGCCGGCTGGAGCTGCGGCCTGCGGGCCCGGCCCTGCCCTCCGCGCGCCCCCGGTCGCGGGCCCGTCCCCGGCTCTGGGGCTACGGCCCTGCGTGCGCCGCGTTCCCGGCCCGGGGAGGCGGCGGTGGGGTCGGCCGGAACTGCGGCGTGGGAGGGGCGCCAGAGCAGCCCCCAGGCCTCCCGCCTGGCCGAGACCCCCTCCCCGCGCCCTCCCGCCGCCGCTGGAGCCCCCACCAGAGAGGGGGCGCGGTGCGAGCTGTTATAGGGCCGGTGCATTTAAAGGAACAGTGCACGTGGGGCTAGGGGGCGTGTGGCGGGGGCATTTTGTTCTTTCTTCCCGCTGGGGACCTCAGTTGCGCCCAGTCCTTCCGGCCTGCCGCACCGGGCCCTGGGCATGCTTTGCGCGGGAGAAGGGGAGAGCCGGGGTCTCCTCGCGCGCTCGTGAGGGGCAGGGCCGCAGGGCCCGGCCTGGAGCCGGCTTGCCTGACTGGCGGGGTTTGTTGTTTTATCAGGCACTTCACAGCTGTGGGAAACGCCCAGAGTCAAGCTTTTGAAGCTGAAGGAAACTGAAACTGAAGCTAGCGTGGACCCCGAATTTTATTGACGAAGAAACTGAGCCCACAGAGCTAAAGTGACTTTGCCCAAGGTCGCCCAGGTAGGATATAGCAGAGCCAGGCTGAGACCCCGGTGTCCTGGCCTCTTGTCCTGCCGTCCATCCCTTGGACCAGCCCTCAGCCTATTGCTAGTTAGATAAGCCGTCCCTGTCTGTAAGTATTCCCTTACTACTTCAGTTCGTGAAAGGTATGGACTGTGGTGACGTGTGACTGGTGAAGCAGCTCGGTCCCCTCGCACTGGTGGAGGGCCCGGGAGCATCCCCTACAGACACTGCAGACCAATCTGACTCAAAATTGATAGGCTGGGTTGTGGGCAAAGAAATTTCCAGTATGGAGGCCCCTTGCATCTACGTAGTCCCTTATGTGGACACCTGAGCTCCAAGAGCTTCAGCCAAGACCTTTGGTAGTAATTAAAGGCTTTGGGTAAGCTGCTTCCGCTCTGCTGAATGTGGCTGTGTGAGAGTGTGACTGCCCAGCTGGTGAAGGGCCTGGGGTCCCGGCCCCAGCTCAGAGCTGTGCCCTCAGCTGCCAGACGTGGCAGGCAGACCGTCCCGGATCGGCCTCGGGTTCCAGGGCAGAGGCTGGAATGAGGGCTTGGGGGAGTGTTGCTTCGGAGTGGAATGGATGTCGATTCAGATTTTGGGGGAAAACTGCATCCTCTGGTGTTGAAGTGCCTGTGCACCAAGTCCTGAGTGCAAGACTTGTTTGTGTGTGGGGAGTGAGTGACCTGTTCTTATTTGAAAATGGAAGGAAGAAAGAGGATGAGGATGAGGAAGGGCCTGGCTAGAGTCTGCTGCTTGGTGTGCCTGGAGGCATGGTGCATATAGTCCTGCGTGTCTCCCCTCCCCTCTCCGGCTGCTCATAGCCCCAGTGCCCACGGTTTGCCAAATGAGAGACTCTCACCTACCTTGGCCTTTCTCTGTTATTGAGGTTAGTAATGACATAACGTACTTTGTTTATGGGTTACTCATATACAATAAAAAGCTATTTTGTGCAGTAGTTATCACAGTTATCTTAAGAATTTCAATAACACTAAAGTAGTTTTTATTTTACTTATTTGTTTTTTTCAAGACAGGGTCTCACTCCATTGCCCAGGCTAGAGTGCAGTGGTGTCATAGCTCATTGCAACCTCAAACTCCCGGGCTCAAGCAATCCTCCTGCCTCAGCCTCCCAAGTAGCTGGGACTACAGATGTGAGCCACCACACCCAGCTAATTTTTCTATTTTTGTAGAAATGAGGTCTCGCCATATTGCTCAGCCTGGTCTTGAACTCCTGGCCTCAAGCCATCCTCCCCCTTGACCTCCCAAAGTGCTAGGATTTGAAGTAGTCATTATACTCAGTTTCCCCGGGGAAACTGAAGTTCAGGGGCTTGAGCAGCTGGTCCAGTTATGTGGTTCTGTGCGTTTGAGCACCAGGATTTGAACATAGTGGACTACGTCATCTTTATGTTTTGAGTTTTTGCACAGGAGGCTTCCCGCATTTGCCCCCCAGCCCTTGTTTCTGCACTGATGCCCAGAAAGTTTCTGTAGAGTCTCGTGAGCAACTTCCTGACAAACAAAAAAGATTTTTTTTTTTCCCAAAGAAACCGAAGCAGTGTGTGTAGGTCACATGCATGTTCCTAATGAAACATTTGGCTTTGGCTGTTTTTCAGCTGTTGCTTTGACTTTGGGACACTGTTTAGTTGGAAACCAACAAGATAGCAAATGTTTCTGCAAGTATTCCCACCTGTTCCTGGGCTGCTACAGCTGGGGGCGAGGCTGGCAGGCTGAAAGGCAGGCTCATCCAGGAGGAACGTTGTGGCTGGATCTGACATGGGCTCCAAGCCTGGAGGTGGTCTGACCACCATGTTAATGTCTGGGGAAAAGAATGATTTCAGATCGGTCCTCAGGAAAGACCAAATGTCAACAGGGGAGATCATTGTTTTATAGCATTTTCATTGTCTGGGAAGATGGGTTGCTTGTTCATCTTTACTAAAATTCTAGAGCAAGGGCAGAAAAATTTAAAGGGTGCCCACCTTTCTGCTATACCTTAACCAGAAACCTCCTGGCTTTTTTTTTTTAATTATTACATGTTCATTCTAGAAAATAAAGGAAATATTTTATTAAGTCATCCCTTAGGCTTCAGCACAGAGAGAACCACACTTTTTTTTTTTTTTTTTTTGAGACAGAGTCTCAACTGTGTTGCCCGGGCTAGAGTGCCGTGGCGTCATCCTAGCTCACAGCAACCTCAAACTTCTGGGCTCAAGCGATCCTCCTACCTTAGCCTCCCGAGTAGCTGGGACTACAGGCATGCGCCACCATGCCCGGCTAATTTTTTTTCTATATATTTTTAGTTGTCCAATTAATTTCTTTCTAATTTTAGTAGAGACGGGGGTCTCGCTCTTGCTCAGGCTGGTTTCGAACTCCTGAGCTCAAACAATCCGCCTGCCTCGGCCTCCCAGAGTGCTAGGATTACAGGCGTGAGCCACCGCGCCCGGCCTAGAGAGAACCACTCTTAACATGAATTTCCTTCCAGGGCTCCTCTCTATGCACATATACGTATGTATCTGTGAAAACAGTAGAGGCAGGAAACTAGATGAATGAAGTTGTTGCATCCTGTTTTTTCTGTTGATGTTATGCCTTCAGAATTTTCCCTTCACTGAGTACTGGAAAACCGGATTTGATGGGTGTGTAGAGAGAGCATTCGAATGTGCCGTTATTCATCTTAGCATTCCCACAGCGAGACACTTTCCCACCCTCCCTTTTGGCCCAGAAAAGCAGGGCCCTGTCTCCTTCCCCAGCCCACGTGTGGGCACCTCCCCCGTGGAGCCACACACACCAGAGAAGTAGCAGAGGGAGAGCAGAGTGGACCCTGGGATGGGAGTTGTGGGTAGGGGGACAGGATCGAGAATTTATTGGGTTTTTAAGGCGGCAGATGATCTGGTGAGTAAGTGATTAAGGGGCACTTCTAGACGCACACCTGCCTGTGGCAAAAGTACATGCTTTGTAAATATGAGTGTGTTCCCAGAAAGCCCACGTGGTGTGCGGTGGGGCTGCCTGTCTGTGTGACCTTCACAAGTGCTGAGTGGGCAGGGAAGGGCTCCCTGATGGGCAGTTTGGAGACTTGAGTTTTAACTGTGGCTTTTGGTCATGGGACTTTAATTGATTCCATTTGCCTTTCTGGACTTAAGTTACTTATAAAAGAAGAGCTGACGAGATGGCCTTTAAGATTCTCTCCAGCTTTGACATAGTCCTATGGAAGTGCCCTTTCATTTGCCAAAACATTCACATGGCAAGAGTGCCCTGGGCTGGGCCTAGATGGAAACAGGATCTCTCCCTGGGGCCCAGCCTTTGAGGCCAGGGTGTGTCTGGTGCTTCAGCAGATTAGTAACTTTTCCAGAGGGGCATCAACAGGCTTCCATATCCCCTCTCACGGTGTCCCCTCCTCTCTATTGTCTTCTTTATAACTACCATTTATTGAGCACCTGCCATGTGGTGGACACTTTACGTATTATCTCTAGCTTTTACGATAATCTTGCAAGATATGCCTGTTCTACTTTTTACAGAAGAGAAAATGGGCTCTGTCAGATTAAATTGTCTGAGGCCATGCGGCCAGGGAGTATGTGGCTCAACTCTGGCTTGCAGCTTCTCATTTAAAAAAACAAAACAAAACACATTTCTGGGCCTTCCTAAGGGTGGCTTGCTAGGGGCTCCCTGTGCCACTTCCCCCCAAACTGCCCTTTCCCAGGCTGTTTCAGGAAATGAGAGAACTCTGCCTGGGCCCTGGATACTTCTGCTTAGGAAAGGCCTAATGGAGGTAAATCTAGAGCTTGGGTCAAGGTTCTGGAGACCCCATCAGAGGGGTCCTGGGGCCTGTGGTCCGGGAGCCTGGGATGGTGTTTCCGGGCTTCCTTTTGGGACTCAGGCCCCAGCTCTGGCTGAGGCCTCCTCCCTGTGTCGGGCAGAACCGTGCAGTCAGTGGCGGGCATCACGACGTGGGCTGAGCTGGATGGACAGATGCATGGTCAACTGGGGCCAAGTACGTGGTCAGTGCCCAGGGCTGGGGGAGAGAGGTGGGCACGGAAGCTGTGGGAATTTCTCAGGGTGTCATCTGACCTTAGCAACCCTTCCTTATTTCAAGGGTAGACTCTGGGACTTCCCAGGAGTCACGCAAGTGCTGTGAGGTAGCCACATGACCACTGAAAATGACGTGTTTAAAACCAGTGCTGCCCTCTTTGCAGGCAAGGGAGCATTGTTCACTTAGCCTGCCAGGAGACAGAAACCAAGCATCTGAGATCCAGACCTTTCCCTGCAGCCCCGAGTGTTTGTGGTAAGCGCCGTTACTCCCAGTCTGCTTTCGGTCCATCCTTTTCTGTGACGCACTAGCGTTTGCTATGGCATTTTACAATCTGTTTCCCACCTAGTTCTGTTGGCCTTAAATGTTAAGGCCAAAACCTTCACTTTTCTCTGAAATGAAAAGGAGGTGGAGGAAATTGGGTCACCGGGTTTACAGAATGATTGCGGGAACTGCTGACACAAGCACTGCTGGGGAGATTCTCTAGGTCAGGCTCCTTGGTTCGGCTAATTCAGCCTTTAGACCCCATTCAGCTGATGAGTGGGTGTGTGCAGTGGCTGCTTTGGAAGTTGGATGTTTGCACCCTGAGCCAGGCAGCTGTGAGCCATGGTGCTTCCTTCTGGGAGGGGTTTCCAGAACATAGTCTGCACCCTGGACAGCCCTCTGCCACTGTGCATTTTCCTGCCACTTCCTCAGAGAATGGGGGGAGCAGGGATGGGAGATGGGGAGAGCCGGTTGCTGTCGTTTGTCACTGATGGGATTTGACGTGGACAGTAGGAGCATTGCCCAGCCCCACCCCCACCCGCCCATGAGTCAGCCTCCCGAGGGAGTTCTTTGCGTCACGGCACTCTGGCGTGGACAGACCTCTAGCCAGGTTGTTGATCTGCACACGTTCGCCTGGGGATTTTTCCCTCCAAGGATTTCAGAGCCCGTCAGGCGTCAGTACCAACTTAGGTGTCTTGCAAAGCAGGCTCTTCGGAATCAAAAAGGGAAGCAAAGTACATCCCAGTGGCTCCGTTTTCCTTCGGGAGCCGGGTAACTCGGAGGGGCTGAGGAACAAGTGCAAAAATGGCTTCATGAAGTCCCTGCTGTACCCCCAGGCCAATGAGGGGATTCCAGAGGGGCAGGAGGAGGAGAAAACCTGTCTAAATGTTGATGCTCATTATTTCCCTTTAAAAATTAACAGCCTGAAAACTACAGATGCAGTCCATGTTTATCAGGGAAACTTGAGACATGCAGAAAAATATAAAGAAAATTAAAATCACCCGCAGTCCCACCATCCAAAGATAATCAACTTTAATGTTTTGTGATATTTCTTGCAAGTCCTGTGTGTACATACATTTTATAGGAAAATTCAGATGATGAAGTAGGTAAAGGTTTATGTTCTGTTCAATTTAACATTAGGTATTTTCCATGTTACTAAATATTCCTTAAAATAAGATTTTTAGGAGTCCTATAATAGTCCCCATCAGATGAATATATCATAGTATAGGGGCCAGGAGCAGTGGCTCACGCCTATAATCCTAGCACTCAGGAGGCTGAGGCAGGAGGATCCCTTGAGGTCAGGAGTTCAAGACCAGCCTGAGCAAGAGCACGAGACCCCATTTCTATTAAAAATAGAAAAAATTAGCCAGGTGTGATGGTGCATGCCTGTAGTCCCAGCTATTTAGGAGGCTGAGGCAGGAGGATCCCTTGAGCCCAGGAATTTGAGGTTGCTGTGAGCTAGGCTGACACCATGGTACTGTAGCCCGGGCAACAGAGAGAAACTCTGTATGTATGTATGTATAAATAAATAAATAAATAAATTTCAATCGTGTTCACTTTTTTTTAACAGTTATGTATAATTACAACACATTTTTATGTAAACATTATTTTCTTAGGATAAATTCTGAGAAGTAGCATTTCAGGATCAAAAGGTGTGACTATTTTTAAAGCTTTTTATTTTTACTGCTTCCAATAAGGTCAGTCCAGTTCGTCCCAGTTTTTCCACACCCTGCTCCACAGTGGGTGTCGTTTGGGGACTTTTTCTGCCTGAGAGCTCTGTTCTCCCCTTGGAGCTTAGCTCCCCTGAGAATCCTCCACTGCTCTTCCTCCCCCTTGCTCGCTGAGCAGAGAGGGGGCATTCTGTGGCAGGGGCTGTTCATTCTCTCATCCCCCCATTCGGCAATCAAGTAGTGCTGACCAGCTGGGCAGGTAGGGAAGGACACTTGCCTTACTGAGCAAGGGGTCTGGTCCTGTGACCGTAAAGCGGGGCAGCCCCAGGGACAGTCTGACAGGAGCCAGAGAACCAACCAGGGACCATCTGGAAATTCAGATCCCCCAGGTGAGGATGGAGCTCAGGGATCTGCATGTTTGATGAGCAGCCTCGTGTTAAAGAACACAGAAACAGACGACCTGGGTCCAAGGGTGACCTTGAGCCAACCACTTTTTAAACCTCGGTTTCCTTATCCGTAAAATGGAGAAGAACAGTAGCTCCCAGCTCCTGGGGTTATGGTGTTTAGTGCCTGGACAGGCTCTGCAGGTGGTGTTCTGCCACCACCCCCTCAGTGGCCTGGACCACCTTTGAACAACAGTGATCCGGGGATTCAGTCCGTCCCAGTTTCTAAGTCGTGCCTCCCACCCGTCAGCCCCACCAGGCTAGCAGGGTTGTGATCAGATGGCGCCCTTGCTGTGACCACTGAGACCAGCTCGTCCCTGCCTGCTCCCTTGTCCCTGCTTTCTTGGAATCCTGGCCACACTGTCGTGGGCACAGCTTCAGAGGAGGCTTTGGAGGAATTTTAAAAGTAGAGTAAGGGAAGGCGGTTGCTCAGGGAGCAATTGTCTTGTGGCGAAAAGGCCACATGTATGAATTACGTTCCGTGGGTTAAAAAGCATATTTTGTGGTTTTCTGATGTTTCTCCCTGAAGAGCCGTCAGGTCCTGATGAGACCAAGCCTGGGCACGGGGTAGGAGGTCAGTGAGTGTGGATGATGGTGACAGCAGTCGCCAGGTGTCTCTCTCTGTCTAGCACAGTGTCACGTGGAAGGGGTCCTTCTTTAAGCTCACCTTCCTTCACAGACCTCAGGGAAACTCCATGAGACAAAAGTGCTTTCCAGGAATGTCTTGTTAGCAGTTGGCAACTAAGTGGAGAAATAGGAATTGGAAGGACTCCTACTTGATCCTGGGTTCCCTGCTTCTCTGTCCTCCCCTTCGTGTTGCTCCCTTTCTCCTTTAAAGAAGCATTTTTGCCCCATTTATGCATTTTCCTCGTGCATTGCTATTTGGGAGCCCGGGAGAGGAGGCATCCTCCGAACACCGCAGCTGTTGTAGGTCTGAAGGGTGAACTTGTCCTCTTTCCTCAGGCTGCAGCCTGTGACGTTTTCAGTCCAAGGGCTCTGAGATCTGCTTCTCCAGTCACTGCAGAGGTAAGTCACAGGTGCTCCAGAAGTGTGGGAAGAACAGAAAGAGGAAGACAGTAACATCATTATTAATTCACACCCAAAACAAACATGCTAGAAAACAGAGTATTCAAAGAGCCACCCAAAGCTTCACATCCCATCTGGGGCACTGCTTCAGATGGGATGCTGTCATTTAGCTTGAGAAAATGCAGCCAGCTGTTTTGTCTCCGGTGCCCGTCTTTGGGTGCGAGTGAGTGCACCCGTGCCAGAGCGGGTAGTAAGGGGAGCTCCTGGTGCACGCAGCTGTTTAGGATTTATCTAGTGAGGCCAAGCCTTGCAGGGGAGGACCTTAAAGTTTCCTTTCCCAGATCTCCACCTGATAGTTCCTCTCCTTTATGTAGATGAAGGAACTAAAGCTCGGAGCTTCCAAGGCCTGGCGGTGCCCTGGGGCTGTGGAGCTGTGTCTCCTCAAACTGGGCTCTAGACTCTGCTGGCTTCCAGGACCGGCCACTGAGGAGCAGCTCTGCTCTAGTCCAGGGGGGTTCCAAGAGGGGAGAGGGCCCACACCCACCAAGAGAGCGCTTCTCAGCTGGCACGCTGCTTCTGTCAAGTTCACCTCTGTTCACATCCTGCTGTTGGGAAACTTTCTCTGGCCCTCCTCTGCTGAGTTAAGCTCTTAGTCCTCGGTCAGGCACCCAGACCCCCCCCGATCGGTCCCCACGTGTCAGCCACATCTGATTGCCTGGTGTTGACAGGATGGGCCATATTGTGTCCCCAGCCCATACATTCACTTTAGTGGTTACCTCTTCCCAGAAGGACCCACCTCTTCAATCTCTGCCTGTCAACGTATTCCTGGGCTTTGAGGCGCATTCCGTGTCCCTCTTACTCCTGTAGCCCAGAAACATCTAATCCCGACAGCCAATAGACTCTCTCCCTGCTGAGCTCCAGGGGTGCACTGTCCTCCTCCTCCTGCCTCCTACCTTACTTCACTTCCTGCTGTTGCTGCTCCTGTACTTAGCTGTCCTAAACAGAAGGTTCTTGATTGTTTGAAATCCCTGTGAGATGTTGGGGGAGCCTTTTGTAGTAGGCCCGAGTCAGGAGGGGAATAGGCAGGCCCTGCTGTAACTAGGGGATGCGGTTAAAGTCCCCATGGAAGTCGTGCGGGCCACCTTCAGTACGGATGGCAGCCACAGCCCTGCTAGGGGGAAGGAACCCACCTGCTTGGCTTAGAAATCACATGAATTCCAGGAGTGACTGAGGTGGAGACGAACTTTTAGCAGAGAGCAGTCCTGGTCATCCGAGCCTGGGCTGTGACACTCAGCCCTCGGGTTCCTGGGAAGTTACTGATGACTCAGCTGCTGTCCCTGTCCAGGATGTCCAGAGTGACAGTCAAATCCGCCAGGGGTCGTCTGAAGTTCTTCCCAGCCCCAAAACCTTCCATGTGTGTGGATTTGGGCTGTGCTGGGTTCCATGTGGTGCTGCTGTGTAGAAACCCCACTTGGGACTGGCCTGGAGGGGCAGGCTTCCCTCCTTTTTAGTCCCTTCAGTGTTGGTCTTCCTCTGGGTCCCACCCTCAGTGGCACTTCCCCACCCCACACGCCTGCTTGTACCACAGATGGTCTCACCTGCTCCTGTGGCTTTGGCTGCCACTTCTAAACTCATCAGACCTGGGTTTCACACACCTCCTTGAGAGCTCCCCCCTTCTCTTTTTAGAGATGGGGTCTTGCTGTGTTGCCCAGGTTGTTCTCGAACTCCTGGCCTCACACGACCCTCTCACCTTAGCCTCCCAAAGTGCTGGCATTGCAGGTGTGAGCCACCGTGCCCAGCTAAGTTTACCCCTTCTTAACCCATAGACACTCAATGGGTTCCTGGGTCAAATTCACGTTATTTCCCCTGAAACTTTTTGCTCCCGTCCTCCCCTTCTTAGTACTCGCCTGGCCGTTGTCCTAGACCCTGTTCTTATTCTGTCCCTCATATCAGGTCCTGTCATTTACCTCCCAACTGTCCTGGGCTCTGTCCCCTCAGTCATACCCACCCTGCTGTCACCTGAGGCCCTCCCCACCTCCCACAGTAGTCTGGGGCAGGGGCACATCACCTGCCCTTTGTGGTCATCGAGCAGAGTGACATTTGTAAACACAGATCTGATCTTGTCTGTCATGATCGTCTCCGGGATGACGGACGCCTTCTTAACGTGGTGCGCGAGACCCCTCTGACCTCCACAGCCCCACCCAGCCCCACCTGGACAGCGTGAGGCCCTCACTGGGGCATCCTCCGTGCCCCTCTGCCCTCCTCACCCATCTGGAAAAACCTGTCTCCATCAAATGTTATCTTCTCGAGAAAACAGTCCTGATCTCTGAGATTTTGGTGCCTTCTTTATGCTTCCGTTCCTCCTGTTGAACACCTAGATTATATCATTTGTCACATTGGATGGTTTTTTTTTTTTTTTTAAGGACAAGGGTGATTCTTACTCATTTTGTATCCCCAGAGCCCAGCATGATCTTTGGTGCACAACAGGTGTGCAACAGATGTTTATTGATCGAATGAATGAGCACACTGACATTTTGGAGTGGCCCTGTCTTTTCCGGTTGGCTGTTTCACCCCCTGTGGCATGAGTCTTCCTCAGGCCAGTCCCACACAAGGCCTCGGTGGTGACTCTCGGGGACTCTTGCCTTACAGCAGCTGTTTTGACGTGCATGTGTTGGAAGTTTGCTGTGGGGCAGGGCCTGTGTCCAGGTCTTCACGCCACCTCCAGTCGCCCCTCAGCCCTCTGCTGCTGTTGTCTCACAGGAAAGCAGAACAAGTCCCCTGTGCTCCTTTCTCTAGGTGCCTCCCGAGGCAGGGCCATGCTCACGTTCATGGCCTCTGATAGCGAGGAAGAAGTATGTGACGAGCGGACGTCCCTGATGTCAGCCGAGAGCCCCTCGCCACGCTCCTGCCAGGAGGGCAGGCAGGGCCTGGAGGACGGAGAGAACACGGCCCAGTGGGTAGGTCCCACCACCGGGGGGTGGGGGAGGCTTGAAACAGGCCCTGGGTTCCTGTACCTGACAGGTGAAGACCAGACATTACTTGATGCGGGAGGGAAGGGGAAGTAAAGGTGAGAATTGGCCAAAGGGGCGGACGATCCGCCACGGTGGGTCTGACACCTGCAAGGGCTTCGTGGTAGACTCTGCACTTCCTAGTGGAAGATGGATTTGGCAGTGGGCCGAATGACGCACTCCACCCGCCTTCTTGGATTTACCTTTCTAGTGCAGGTCATGGGAGAGTAAGTTTGGCTGCCCCATGCTCGGACAGGTAGCACAGAAGCTTAGATGGTAGGAGGAGAGGCAGCTGGAGGGGAAACATGTTTTGGCAGATGGCCAGACATGGTAGCCGTGAGATGGGTGCCTAATCCATGTTAGACTTTTGAGCTGGGGATGGGCGGGCTGCACTGCAATCTGCCCTCTGTAGCCCCAGGGCCGGGGACGGTTGCATTACGAAGAGTGGGATATCCTTGGGAGAGTCACTCGGTGTGCCCTCTCCCTTCCTGCAGGGCAAAACATCTGAAGTTGCCTGAATCTCACTCTCTGCTGTGCCCATTATAGAATTTAAAGACCTTCATGTGCACTGTTTTCCCACAGCCAGCCTAATCCCTTTGCTGAAATTCGAGCTCCTTTCTCCATGAGAACAGAGCCGTGGCCCCCGGAGCTCCGAGTGAAATCTCACCAGCTCAAGGCCACTGCTCGGCCTTTTCTTGACAGTTTCTTATTTTATCTCCGGGAGGTTTTGTGCATTTTAGTTGTTTCAGTTCCTGTTGATGAACAGTTTTCCTTTCATTTCTCAGCTGAATGCCTAGATTGGGGCTCTCTCTGCAAAGAAGTGATACTGAGGTGACTGTCATTTTTGGTTTTTGTTTCATTTGGCTTTTCCTTTGGCTGCTAACGTTGTGAACAAGGCAGCTAACGACCCTGAATTGCCACAGTTCTGAAACAGACATTTTTGTTTGTGCTAGCGTCTGGCAGACATCCTGCCCTCCCTTGCACTCTCTCCCCTTCCCGGAGCCCACGTCTTCCAGATGCTTGACAGCCGTCAGCCTCTCTGATTCAGGGCTGTAAATCGACATGCTTGATGTTGTGGGGCAAAAGGTTCAAAGTAATTTCTTCCTCTCCAAATTCCCGGAGTCTTATTCACCCTCCAAGAGAGTCCCCATGTATGCTGACTATTCTAGTTAGTGGTTTTTAATCTGTTCCCCCATCACCTGGCCTGTCTCCTCCCAGATCAGTATGGCCACGTGAACAGAGTTGAGTGCCATGCCAATTCCCTGCACTTAGGAAGGGGAAAGGTCTTTTGATGTGTTTCGAATTCATTAGCCATTAAGCGGTGGGCCTGCAGACTCTTCCCGGCTGTGCAGCCTCCTTCCTTCGTCCGTGGTGTTTGGCCCAACCCTCAATCTTCTCTACTGTTGTCCTCATACACTTTTCCACTGTCCTAAAAATTCCAACACTCCCACATCTAAACTATAGTACATAGGTGGCTTCTTACGTCTGGAACACAACATTCAAACTTCTGATTTCCAATTCCAAAAATCCACGCACTACATCAGTAGGCCACCATGGGGGGCATTCTGTGAGCCACACGATGCGATTTCCCACAGAGAATCCAGGATAGTGAGGAGGACGGCGAGGAGGACCCCGACCGCTATGTCTGCAGTGGGGTCCCCGGGCGGCCACCAGGCTTGGAGGAAGAGCTGACCCTCAAATACGGAGCAAAGCACGTGATCATGCTGTTCGTGCCCGTCACTCTGTGCATGATTGTGGTGGTGGCCACCATCAAGTCTGTGCGCTTCTACACGGAGAAGAATGGACAGCTGTGAGTTGGGGACCTGGGTGGCACAGGGCAGGGTGGGGCTGGGTTGAGGGTGGCCGCTGTGTTGGCACCTGCAGCTCCACACCAGTGGCAGTAGGGAGGAGGGCTGAAGAGCTGCCAGGTTCACGGCCTGGGCCACTGCCTCCTGTGTGACCTGCCTGGGCACGTTCCTAACCTCTGTCTCAGTCTCCTGGTCTGTGTAATGGGTTCAGGAGTGGGGTTACTGGGAGAAGTAAGTGAGTTAATACAAGTAAAGGGCTTAGAACAGTGCGTGCTGCAGGTGAGCGCTCAGGCACGCTGGGTCTGACTACAGAAGCAAGCTGAGCTCGATGTTGCAAGTGCCAGGTCCTGGGCACAGCTGTGCCATCAGTCACTGCATGACCACAAGCAAGTCACTTCCTCTCTGGATCTCGGCTCCCTTGAATGTAAAACAAGGTGGTTGGTTGGACCAGATGATTTCTTAGCTCACTCCCAGCCTGGGGAGGAAGGTTTATAAACCTTTGTTTTGTTTTAGTAAAATACATGCAGAAGCAGCACAGAAAAATGAGAAGCTCTCCCACTCCCTCCCCCTGCTGTGGTTGTCACTGCTCAGCACCTTCTCCAAACTTTTCTTTTTTAAGGGAGGGACTTTTTGTTTTGGTTTGTGTGTATTTGTTTGTTTTTGGTTCTTGAAAGGAGTAGAGCAAGAAGCCCCCACCCTCGGGAAGCTTAGTGTCTGCAGGGGACTCAGAGCAGCGCAGGTGAAAGCCTCGCGAGGCCTTGGCCAGCGCTTTGCTCCTGCAGTCCAGGCTGGGAAGAGGGAGGTATCAGTCAATCTGTCAGTCAGTCGCTCTGTCTCTGCCTCCTGAGTTTCTGGGCTGCGCGCGCAGCTGCCGCCCCGCCGGGTACGGGTGGGGGAGGCGACAGGTGGAGGGGCCTGGGCTGGGTGGGGCTGATGGAGAAGTGTGGGTGTGGGGAATGAGAAGTGGGTGGGCAGAGAGAAGCACCTAGAGGGTTAGTCTGAGCGGGGGTGGGGAGGTCATCCTGCCCACGTCCCCACTGCTGCATGAGGCCAGTCTCGAGGCTGAGAGCCACAGGCGTGTGGTTAGTGGCAGGAAATGGGCTGGAAGACAAGGACCAGTCACGGGGACAGTGGCCACGCTCTGCCAGGGCAGTGTGTGGCTGTGCGGGGGCAGCGTGGGTGTTCCCAGGCGCCTCCCCACACAGTCGAGGGTTGCTGGGCGGGGAGCGTTCAGGAGCAGGAGCAGGCAGGGACCCAGAGTGCCAGCCCTGTGCCTCCTCCCTCAGCATCTACACGCCATTCACTGAGGACACGCCCTCGGTGGGCCAGCGCCTCCTCAACTCCGTGCTGAACACCCTCATCATGATCAGCGTCATCGTGGTCATGACCATCTTCCTGGTGGTGCTGTACAAGTACCGCTGCTACAAGGTGAGGCCTGGCCACGCCCTCCGCCCACCACCTCCCATCTGCCCCACAGCGCTGCTGGCAGGGCCCATTCCACAGCCACCTTTTTTAAAAACCTGGAGTTCCTTTTTTTCTGCAAAATAAACTCTGATTTTTGGTACTCCTTCTCACCCTAGCCTGTCCCCACAGATGACCTAATACTATTGTCTGTTACATGTGCACAGAATCCCACTCAACTGAGTTCCTCCCTGCAATGCGCCATGCGTCACTTCTCCTATTCAGAAGTTAATTTTATTTTGCTTCTCTTTCTGAAGCTCTATTTTAGGCTCTCCTCACCCCGATACTTCCTCTCCGGATTTATTTTTATTTTTCCATTTCCCTGCTGGACAGGGAGGTACAGAGGCTATGTTCAGGCCTTCCAGCCCCGGGAGACAGCGGGGTTGGGCCCACCTGCAGCTAGTAAGTGGCCCCGGGGCGTGGTGGAAGAGCCCATCGCACCTGCCCTAATCACGGCACCGTCTTGTCTCCAAAGATGCCATAAACTTTTAGATGTTGATTTCAGGCTTTTCTCCTAAGGAAGGCTTTGAACAGCTAAAGAATGACAGAAAGCTAAGCTAGACATCACCTAATTTCAAACTGTTCACACATAGGCACAGCACAGTGCTTTTTGTTTGGGTAGCTCCATTCATGAAGCAGGAAGATGAAGGTGTGGGGTGCCCAGGCGAGAGGGATGGGGCAGAGATGGTGCAGTGAGGGAGCCACACCTGTGGTCCCGGCATCCCAGGAGGCCGAGGCTGGAGGATCAGTTGAGCCCAGGAGTGAGTCCCAACCTGAGCAACATTGAGAGACCCTGTCTCTAAAAAATAATAATGATTTATTATTATTATTATTATTATTTTTCAAGATAGGGTCTCTGTCACCCTGGCATCATCATAGTACAGTGCATCCTCCAACTTCTGGGCTCAAGCAATCCTCCCACCTCAGCCTCCTGAGTAGCTGGGACTATAGGCGTATACCCTCACACCCGGCTAATTTTTTCTATTTTTGGTAGAGACGGGGTCTTGCTCTTGCTCAGGCTTATCTCGAACTCCTGACCTCAAGCGATCCTCCTGCCTCAGCCTCCCAGAGTGCTGGAATTATAAGTGTGAGCCACCGCTCCTGGCCTCTAAAAAATAATAATGATAAAATAAGTAACATTTACCTGTGTAAATGAGGCAGGGTTTTAACATAGCAGTGGGGAGGTTGGTGGATGGTGGGAAGCAGGGTAGAGGGCAGCTGGTTTGGAGCAGAGGAAATAGCATTCGTAGAAGCAATCTAGGGTAGCACAGCAAATGTGGAAAGCTGGCAGTAGGTGTCAGGTGGCCAGTTCCAGAGAGTGTTCAGAGGGCCTCAGCCATCCAGGAAGGTTTACCTGGGGGTTCCAAGGCACTCAGGCAAAAGATGACAGTGGCCTGGGCAGCCAGGTGGGGATAAGAGGATCAGCATGTGCCCTTTTTGCTGTGCACACAGCCGAGGCGGGTGCTTCACTCCAGGTAGACCAGGTCCCCGCTGAGGTCCCAGTGGGCTGGGCTAGTGACTGATGGGTTGGTCCTCAAGGGTGAAGCTGCCCCAAGTAGACCAGGTGTCTGCTGAGGTCCCAGTGGTCCTGGGGGGTGAGGCTGGTAGGAGGTGATGTCACTGTACTGCTAGTGGCCAGCTAAGGGCCCCACTCTTGTCCTTCACTCTCCCAGGGTTGCCAGGAGGGGAGGAACAAGTCTTTCTGAGAACTGTTTGTGGACCCCTGGGTGGGCAGGGCCTTCCTGGGTTGTCTCTGTTGAAAAACAGCCCCCTCAAGAGGCCTTCCCTGACCGGTCCATCTAAAATAGCACGCCAGGGAGTCTCCTGTCTCTGTATCCTGCCAACGCTGTTTTCTCTGTAGCTGTTATCACCACCTGCTAATGTATATTTGTTTATGTGTTATCAGCACTTGCTAATGTTTATTTGTTTACATGTCCTCTACCTCCCCGCATGCTGGAGAGCAATGCCACAGGCAGAGGCTTCTCTAGCTTTCTTTACCGAGCCCAGAACAGTGCCTGGCGAATAGGAGTCGCCTAGCATGTCCATTCTAAGTGAAGGAGCAGAGTAGAGAGGTGGGGAGAGCATGAGGCTGTGTCAGCAGACCCGTGGGAGTCTTGTCTCCGTCACACACTGCAGGGGCCTGGAGAGAACTTGAATTTCTGTGCCGTCCTCACGTGTATGATGGCCACTTGCTACCGCCAAACCGCGGTCAGGGAGTAGCCAGACGAAGAAAGACTTTGGGGCTTGGGTAGCAGTCCCAGGAACCTGGGGACCTTGTGATCTGGGGAGCTCGGGACACCTTGTGACCCTCCTGTCTGTTCTGTTGTCCAGTTCATCCATGGCTGGCTGATCATGTCCTCCCTGATGTTGCTGTTCCTCTTCACCTATATCTACCTCGGGTGAGTGGCAGCTGTGAGCAGCAGGGGTGCCCTGGGGACCCTCTCCCCGCAGCACGGGTGGATACGAAGGACCTGGGCAGGGAGAGGTGACTGTTGAGCCACAGCCCTCCCTCGCATTGGCTGTTCCAAGGGCCCCAGCCACCGAGCCCCTCTTTTATGGGCCTTGACACAGTGAGTCGGGCTCCATGGTGGGCCACGTGTCTCTTCCAGTTCCTGACGTAAAACAAGCCCTCACGGAGGAGGTTCTCTGAATCCTATAGGGGGACAGAAACCCCTCAAAATTTACAGTCCCATTTCTGGGCTAGGCCCAGGTACTTCCTAGTTTACAGAAATGATTATCTGTTCTGTTGCCCCTTGATTTGGGATATCAGCCTGACCCAGGGGCCCACAGAGATTGGAGGGACAAGGAAAAAACACTTTTCCAAGGACCTTTTCCACATGAGAAAGGTCTTCCAGGTTGTACCAGCACACATTTACGTAAACTACGCAAAGCATGAGTCTTCGGTTTACTTTCCGTCTTGTTCTAGAAAATATTTCGAATGGTTAGCCGTAGGGCCAGTGGACGTGGGGAAGGGAACATTGGTAAATAAGGCCGGGCTGGGACTGAATGGCGTTGAACTGTGTCAGGGTGTCGCGTCTCCACTGAGTCTCCCGCCCACGGGCACACCTTGGTCCTGCAGGGAAGTGCTCAAGACCTACAACGTGGCCATGGACTACCCCACGCTCGTGCTGGCCGTCTGGAACTTTGGCGCGGTGGGCATGGTGTGCGTCCACTGGAAGGGGCCTCTCGTGCTGCAGCAGGCCTACCTCATCGCCATCAGCGCGCTCATGGCCCTGGTCTTCATCAAGTACCTCCCGGAGTGGTCCGCCTGGGTCATCCTGGGCGCCATCTCTGTGTACGGTAGGCGGGCGGCAAGCCTGGCAGTGGGCGGTGGTGACGTCCAGGGACATGTCGTCCCCACTGCTGCACAAGGAGGATAGGAGCTGCAGAGCTCACCCCGCTTCCTGGGGTGGCCTGGGTGGTCTCCCTTCTGAGAGGTTCACTGTTGTAAAACACAGGAGGCCTCGTAGACTCTTGGTATTCTAGAAATAAAACCCAGCCATCACTGACCTCTTTATTTTCCATTATTATTGGCATGCTGATTGAGCACGTGCACTGTTAAGCAATTTACACACTGAGTTGTATTTCCTTAGGACAATTCTAAGTCCTTTGGGCAAAATACCTGTATATGACCCCGAATGTTAGCTGCTATTTAATTAATATTAGCAAGATTACCATTGCCAGTGTTACTGTTTCCATTTTAAGGATAAGAAATTCGAGAAGTGGGACTCTCAAGCCCATCCTCTGGGTGTCAGGCACACAGCTCTCCCCTGCTTGCAGTCACCATTTCAGGCCCTGCTCTGGGCTCCAGCCAGTGTAGACTCTGGAGGGTCTGGGATGCCAGCCCAGTGTCAAGGCACGTTCTGAGAGTCCCGCCCTGGGGCTCCTGGTGCTACAGGACTGGCTCCTCCTTCAGGGGCTGCTTGGGAATAAATGTCTTTCTTTAACATGACAAGGATGTCTCTGTTTCCCAGATCTTGTCGCTGTACTGTGTCCCAAAGGGCCACTGAGAATGCTGGTGGAAACTGCCCAGGAGAGAAACGAGCCCATATTCCCTGCCCTGATATACTCATGTGAGTGGGCTGCCATGCCTCTGCCTGACCATGGGGTCAGCATGTGGTCTGTAGTGGGGACAAGGGACTGCTTCCTGGCCGTGGCGTTCAGTGTATAGGGATTTGGATTTATGTATGCACTCAACACAGTGTGCATCAGGTCCCCACTTTGGGGCAGACACTGCTAGGCATCGGGCGTCCAGCAGGAAGCAAGACCACGTGGTCCCAGGCCGCATGGAGCTCGCAGCACTGCGCTCCCGTCTGCCGTTGGCAGGGCTTACTTGGGTAGAGAGCCCGGATTGGGCCTGTGTTGTCTGCGGGGTGGCCTGGGAGACAGTTCATGAAGCGGCTGTAGAATGCTAGATCATCTCTGTGCAGATGAGGGGTCAGCTGGTGGAGCAGACACACCAGCAGCGTGGCCCCTGTGAGAAAGCACGTTCCAGGCACGTTCCTAGGATGAGCAGAGACCGTGCTGGGACAGTTGTGAGTGCCCAAGACTCGGGGTTCACCTGTGAACAAATGAGGTCCTGGCTCTGATGGAGCTTCCGTTTGGGAGGAGAGGTAGACAGTAATGAAATAGACGGATACATGTTCAGGTGCTAGTGAGTGCTCTGCAGAAAAAGCAGAGTTCAGGGACCGAGGACTTCAGGGTCGTGGGGGATGTACTTTATGTAAGGCAATCAGGGAAGCCCTCTGTCATGAGGTGATATTTGACTGGAGACCAGCCTGACTTAGGTGAGAGACAACACCGCATGAAAACATGGGGCCAGCATTCCAGGAAGAAAGAACAGCAGTGAGCGCAGAGACCCTGAGAGGGATGGGCCTGGTGTGCTCAGGGAGTGCCCGGAGGCCAGTGTGTCTTGGGAGGGAGGGGAAGGGGAGGGATCCAGGTCAGGCCATGGCCAAGGACTTTGGCTTCTGAGTGAGATGTGAACCTCCTAGAAGACTGTGGGCCAGCCCGACTTTACATTTTAACAGGGTCACACAGGTTGCTGAATGGAGAACAAATGTACAGGGACAAGAGCGGGAGCAGGATCCAGGGTTGGAGGCTGAACAACAACCCAGCGGAGAGAGGCTGGGAGTTTGGCCCTGGGGCAGCAATAGATGCTGTGAGATGCTGCAGTTGGACTCTGGAGACATTCTGGAAGCAGAATTGGCGAGATTTGTTGATGGCTAGGGTGTGAGTCATGAGACAGAGTCAAGGAGGATGTTGGTGCTCTAGGCCTGAGTGACAAAAAGAATGGAGTTGCCGTCTCCTGAGAGGGAGAGACGTGGCGGGGCAGGTCGGAGGGGCCGTTGTCAATGGCGTGTTGGGGGCCTATCGAGCGTGAGACCCTCGCTGGATGTTCAGATGGAGAGTAGGAGATACGCAGTCGTGAGTCCAGGCCAGAGATGAAACACAATTCAGTTAGTACCGCGTGACCCAGCACGTGGGTATACACCCAGGAGAACTGAGAGCAGGGCTCGGACACACACTTGCACACGGTGTTCATCACAGCGTGATTCACAGTAGCCACCCGAGCGTCCCAGAATGGGAGGATAAAGTGTGGGTGCACATGCAGTGGAATATTACTCAGCCATAAAAGGAAAGGACATTCTGACACATGCAGTAACGTGGGTGAACCTTGAGGACATCATGCTGAGTGAATTAAACCAGTCACAAAAGATAGACACTGTATGATTCCACCCTGTATGAGAGCCTGGGGCCATCAGATTCACAGGGACAAACGGTGGAGTGGTGGTTACCAGTGGCTGGGGCAGTCGTTCAGTGGTTATAGAGTTGCAGTTTTGCAAGATGGAAAAGTTCAGGACATCTGTTTCACAACAATGTGAATATATTAATACTTAGCACTAAACTGTATGCTTAAAATTATTAAGATGATACATTTTAGGTTTTTTACAATTTAAAATTTTTCACAATTTAAAAAACAACACAATTAGTTCATCAAACCGTTCACTGATGTTATTAACCTTGTTGTAGTTATTTGTGAGCGGGGCAGAAAAAGACTCGCCAAGGCACTGTCTTCCCAGACCTGGCCAGTGAATCTGGACCCCTCCCCCAGCAGCCTCCTGACCATGGGCAGTGAACAGATAACCCACAGGATGGCAGGATGGAGGGTCCCATGCAGGCTTTCCGGGGACACAAGCTAGCCACCTCCCCCCAGGCCCTGCAGGCAGCCACTGTCAGCACCACTGGCGTTGTAACCCTTTTCTCCCCCCACAGCTGCCATGGTGTGGACAGTGGGCATGGCCAAGCTGGATCCCTCCTCTCAGGGAGCCCTGCAGCTCCCCTGTGACCCCGAGATGGGTGAGTACTGGGGGGCCTGACAGCCTCTTTTCACTGGGAGCAGCTTCTCGCCTGCATCCAGCCCTGCCCAGCCTTGCCTAGCCTAGCCTCTCTGGGGGGCACGAGTTCAGAAGGGGAAGGGTGACGTGTCATCCATAAACCATCTTGGAGAGTGTTCGAGGGTGGGAATGTTGATCCCCTCCCTGCCAGCCTCTAATGCTTCCTTGCCGCTGGGCGTGGCTGGGTGTGAGGGTGGGGGAGCCCCGAGGTCAGGCAGTGGCGCTCAGGCGGACCCTTCCTGGATCTTTCTTCCCCAGAGACCAGGCAGCCCTCTGACCAGCTTTTGTCTCTCTCCCTTGCCCTCTGCTCGTGGCAATGATGGTCATCTTCTCTTCCTGGACACCCAGAAGAAGACTCCTATGACAGTTTGGGGGAGCCCTCATACCCTGAAGTCTTCGAGGCCCCCCTGCCTGGCTACCCAGGGGAGGAACTGGAGGAAGAGGAGGAAAGTAAGGTGCCTGTGTTCACGTGGTCTGCTTCGCCCAGGGGTGGGGCGGAGGGTGGAGGCTCCCTGGAGCCTGGGCGGAGGAGGTGTGAGGGGAGAGGCCCCTTTTCACATTAGAGGCATCTTTGTAAAGTCAAGGAGAAGCCTGCAGAGCTGGAGTCTTGTTGCCGGGCCCTCGGGGCTTCTACACCCAGGCTAAACCAGGTGGTTAGGCGACATGTATTGAGTGCGGACCGTGCGCCTGCCTGCGCGGTGGGGTGAGGCTGGGCCTGGAGGCTCCCAGTGTGATGGGCATGGGCACTGATCACACACACTGTAAAAGCCGGTGAGGACTTTGAAGGGGGGCACCAGGAGAGCATGGGATGGGGCTTCCAGGGGGTGGAGAAGGTTACCTGTGGATGTAACTTCTGAGCTCTGGAGGTTGAGTCAGTGTCACTAGAAGAGGGGGACTTTCCAGACGGGCAGATGATCGAAGCTGAGGCCTAAGTAGACCAGAGGTGTGGGAGGGTCTTGAAGACAGACCTGGAGACATTCTGAGATATTATTCCCCAAGTAATTAAAAGTGCTATTCTGTTAGGACACAATCACAGACCACTCACTGCATGCCAGCTGGCACCTGGAACAGGCAGGTGCTGCGGTATACGACACCTCAAGAAGGGCCTTGTGGGAGCAGGAGATGGTACAAAGGATTCCAGGGATGCAAGACGGCTGCGTTTGGGAAAGATCAACCCGAGGCAGGACTGGAAGGACGAGTAGGTCGCGGCCCTGCAGACAGTGCCGACGGGCGCCCTGCTGCTCGCCTCTGGTGCTGGCTACCGCAGTTGGTGCAGACCCCACGGGGTAGGAGGCCTGGTCCACGGGACTGGCTCCCCTCAGACACCAGCTGCAAGTTCTCAGGGTCCATGGGCCACCCACTCTTCTGACCAACTGGCTACAAATCTGGGGCTCCCGCAACACCCTCAGGCTCAATCATTTAATGCTACCAAGGATCACAGCACTCAGGAAATCACTATGCTTCCAATTACAGTTTTATTATAAGGAGTGCAACTCAGGGCCAGCCAGAGGAAACAGGGTAAGGTCTGGAAGGGTCCCTACCATGTCTTTCCTGGTGGAACAGGGCACATCCCCCTCCTGACACATGGCTATGTTCACCTAGCTTCAGTGTCCAGTGTTTCATTGGGGTTCCGTTCCATAGGTATGACGGATCAGTGTTTGACACCTGATTGAGCCTCATCCCCCACCCCCAAGGTTTGCTGGCCCAAAGCTTCAACCCTCTGATCACACAGTTGTTCCTTCTGGTGACCAGCCCCCATCCTGAGTCATCTCGTCTTTTAGCAGAAACTCGGGTGTGATCCACAGGGCTCATGAATACCAAAACACTCCTGTTACATAGGAAATTCCAAGGATTTAGTCCCCTGGTAACCAGGGACAAAGATAGGTCAAATTCAGCAGCCTTTGCTTTGCAAAGGCTCAACTTCGACCTGAAGGCTTCAGGGAGCTCCGTGGCTGTTGGATGTGGACTGGGGTCATTGCAGGAGTGGAGGAGGGCCATCGGGTCTTAGGGTGTGTTGTAGTCTTGGAAGAACTCGTATTTTATCTAGGGGTGGTGGGGAACCATTAGTGGTTTATAAGCAGGAAAATCACAGGAGGAGAGCTGCATTCCCCACGTAGTCTGCCGGGGCACCAGGAGGGGAAGGAAGCAAGGTAGCAGCAGTGGACGGGGAGAGGAGGTGGGGACGCAGCCTGCGTGGGCTGGCTGGCAGGACTGCGCCAGTGGCCAGTGTTGGGGGTCCCCATGGAAGGTGGTGCTGCTCAAGAGGCTCGGGAGGGGCTGTGGGACGCCCAGGTGGATGCCCGGTAGACCCGAGTTGGGGAGGAGCTCAGCATGTACACGTTGTCAAAACTGTGGGCCCCAAGAAGCTTAGGTAGCCAGGGAGGGTCTGGGACACTTACAGAGGAAGGGAGGGGTGCCAGTGGAGGACCCTGGGGAGTAGCCAGAGGCGAACAGGGGCCCAGACAGGCAGGTAGCAGGAGGGCTGCCAGCGTCCCCTGGTGGCCATGTGGTGGCTTTGCCAGAGAGCATTGGTTAGGGGACAGGGGACCTGGTGCCTCTAGATTTCCAGAGTGACCAGGAGGTGATCTCTGGGTTCATTTGAGAGTCCTAATTTAAAAAGAAAAGCGATCAGGGAGGGGAGAGAGCCAGCCAGAGCAGGACAGCAGGAGCAGCGTGGCAGCGAGAGGGCCCCGGACGGGAGGAGGACTGAGGGCTGGGCCCGGCACAGGACAGGATGCTGCCTGCCAGGAGCAGGAGGGACACGGACTTGGGGCCTGAAAGGGACAGGGAGGGTGGGCCTCCTTGGTCTGCATTCTTTACATACCATATTTATTGTCAACAGTGAACAGAGTTACCCTATGAACAAGTGTCAGGGGCCATTGTACTGAAGAAAACAAACCTGAAAGCATTTTACAAGCTCTGATTTACTTACCAGGGATAGGTATGCGACTTAGCAATCGTGGTTACCTACTTGTAAGGGGAAAGGGTCTCAGGACCTCTTTCTTCATGTTCATATGTGTTCTTCAAAGTAGAGTAATTAAATTTCCTAGAAAATGTCCGTCATCCACACCTGGCACTCAGTGGTTCAGCAGCCCCTCAGCCCCAGGCAACACACTTGTGTTTGGCCTTTTCTTTGCTCAGCTGAGTGCCCAGCACCATTTGACCTGTGTGTCAGCGCAGCCAGCTTCTCTCTGCCGGGTTGTGAGGCACCCAGTCCGCAGGCCCCCCCTTTCCCGCTGGCAGCGGCTGTTTGGAGGCAGCCCGTCCTGCAGTCCTGCTGGGCTGGGACGGGCGGGGTCACTGCCTGTCTGACCCTGCGTGCCCTCAGGCTGGCACAGCGGCTGGACCTCCTAGGCTGGTGGTGTCCTCCTTTTCCTGGTCTCTGCAGCGTCCTCAGCGACAGTCTGCTTTTTCCGCCCACACAGGGGGTGTGAAGCTCGGCCTCGGGGACTTCATCTTCTACAGTGTGCTAGTGGGCAAGGCGGCGGCGACTGGCAGCGGGGACTGGAACACCACGCTGGCCTGCTTCGTGGCCATCCTCATTGTGAGTGGCTGGGGTGCTCCCGGGCTGCCCCCATGGGGGGCCCCTCGGGGTCTACATGGGGGCCCAGGTTCTCTGAGGAGTCTGCATTTTTCTCTGAGGGGTTTGAGCAGCAAGGGGGGCCGAGGGCTGACCCAGGCTCGCAGGAGGTGCGATCGCCACCCAGACGGGCCGCAGCCTGTGAGGACAGCGCAGGGGAGGGCGGCCGAGGGCCCTGGCTCTGACATCACCAAGGACGCCTCTGTGCGTAGGGCTGGCTGCCAGCCTTGTGGGCTAGTCTCAGGATACTTGGGAGGTGCGGTGGTTACCTCAGATTTAGAGAAGGGGAAGTATCTTCATGGCCTTGCCCGTGGCACAGAGCTGGTGAGGGCCAAGCTGTGACTGGCAGAGCTGCGATTAGAACCTGGTCTCTCACCCTGGAGCTGTGTGCTTCCCCTCCTCCCTGCTACCCGGATACCACAGGGTCCTGAACCCAGGGGTCGCCGGGGGATTGGGGAGCAGACCCATCACTGTGAACCCCAGCAGTGGAATTTAGAGGCCCCTGTACTCACTTCATACAGCCAGATGCACATAATGGGGGAGACATCCTATAATGATTTCACCTCTGAGTTTTTTCTGTTGGAGGACGTGGAGTCTCTGAGAGGTACATACTCCACGTCCTGTACCTTGAGGAAAATCCTGGCATCACCTGGCAGGGCACATGATTAAGGTCGATGCTCCAGTGTTTTGAGGACTGTGTTTCTGCCCACACGTGTTGTCAGGGATGGGAGAGTAGACCCAGGCTCCTCCACCACCAGACTGTCTGACCTGAGCCCTGCTGTCCCCACGGATAGGGCGGGCACTGCTTCCTCGTCCCTACCCTGGACCACTGCCTGCATCAGCCAGGTCAGGACAGGATGGGCAAGGCCCTGAAGCTATTTCCTCTTCCCTTTGCTTCCTTTGGTGTCAGCCACTGAGAACCACACTAGCATTTCAGTTGAGACCATCTAGTTCTCATATAAGGGCACATTCCCTGAGGGCACCCTGCCCTCCTGTGTGCCCACGGAGCCAGCTGGGGAGGCAGTGGGGTCTCGCAGAGCATTGCCCAGAATTGAGGAGGCTGCTTCTGGCTCAACCATTAACAGGTGGGGTGTGGTGAGGGTGAGAACACCTGCCCTCGGCACCTCTCAGAGCTGTCTCGGGACCAGGGGAAATAAGAGGGTGTCCAGTGCTGTTGTCCAACTGGTCCCCGAACAAGCTCCTGAGCCCAGGGACTAGACCATCACTAACTTCCCCCCCCTGCCATACCAGGGGGTCACCACCCTCAGCCTTCCCCCATCCTGTCCTGCAGGGCTTGTGTCTGACCCTCCTGCTGCTTGCCGTGTTCAAGAAGGCGCTGCCCGCCCTCCCCATCTCCATCACGTTCGGGCTCATCTTCTACTTCTCCACGGACAACCTGGTGCGCCCCTTCATGGACACCTTGGCCTCCCATCAGCTCTACATCTGAGGGACCCGGGTGTCGTGGGCTGGAAGCTGCAGGGAATTTTAACTGGACGCAGTTGTATAGTTTTACACTCTAGTGCCATATATTTTTAAGACTTTTCTTTCCTTAAAAAAAAAAGAAAGAAGGAAATATCATTCACTTTGTGGAGAGGAAGCAGAATGAGCTTTTTGGTGCTAGCTGTTTTGTCACGAGACTCTGGCCTGCCCCTTTGTGGGCACCGCCTCGCCGCGCTAACCGGACACAAGGGTTTGTGCAGACGAACCGCGAAGGTCAGGTGCCGTGGGCAGGGGCAGGGAGAAGGGCGCCCGCTCTTGCGAGGTCTGGAACAAGCCCCAGGGCCGAGACGAGCGTGAGCGAAGAGGTGTGTACGTCGGGAGCCAGGAGTGTGTGCTCGGGAACGCGCTCTGCACCTGGTGGCTCTGGCTGGAGAAGAGCCAGTTCCCTCTAAGGAAGGTCCCCAATCCTTTGTCAGTGATGTCATTGTTACCTTATTACCTTTAGAAACCGAATCCTGTTCTCATTAAGGCAGTCACACTGCCGGGAAGTGGCTTCATGTTAATATCAATAAATAGATGAGTCCTGTTGGAATGCTGGCACCGTCTGTTCGTAAATGTTGGCCCCTGGCCCGGTGTCTCAGCCGCACTGCCAGGGCAACCTATGCTGTGGGCCCCAGGGGAGCGGGTGATTGGCCTATTGGAGGGAGAGGGGCTTTTAACAGTCTCACCTTTCTACACTCATTTCTTTAACTAGAAATTTCCTAAGCGAAGACATTCGGAGAGCGGGAGCCTGAGGTCTGTGGGCTCTGGCGTGCAAGGCTGCCAGCGCCAGACAGACCCCTGGCCTCAGTCGTGCACGGTGTCAGACACACTCCAGTGCGGCTACCAGAATGTGGAGTGGTTCTTTCAGGAAGTGTCCACCCTCCGCAGAAACCCTCAGGCCAGGGAGCCCATGCTTTGGAACTCTCCTTTCCCACTGTGGCCATCGCCCTGGGTGCTGTGGTTGGGGAGTGGACAGGTTGGCTTTGCCTCTGGTCACTCTGCGGTTGCAGAGGGTCTCAGTGATGCCTCCAGGTGGGGCCTTGAGCCCGCTGGGGCCGTGCAGAGCCGCAGGCAGACAGCCAAGGAAACACGGGCGTGCGTCTCGAGTTCAAACTGGTAGCCCTGTCTCCTTGTTCCAGGAATAAGAGAGGAATGAGAATTGTGCATTTCGACGTGTGACAGGAGCTTGCTTTCCCCGGGGCTGTTTGGCGGGAGTGCTGGCGGATGACTAATGCAAGTCAGAGGTGCAGGAGCAGTGGCCTTGCAGTCGTGAAAGCCACCAGCAGGGAGCAGTTAAAGACGAAGAGATGGTCCCTGATGGTGACAGCTCCCAAGAGGTTAAAGGGGGAAAAAACTGTGAAAAGCCCATTAGATTTGGCAATTAGGGCAAATATTTATCTTCAGAAGAGCAGTGTTAGGTGGGGTTTCCAAGGATGAGACTGGGGAAATGTTTTGGCTGGTGAAGCTGAAAGAGTTCTTTGTCAAAGGCCTGGCTGGAGAGTGCTGGGCCGAGGCCACATTCAGAGGTAAAAACAGAAGTGAGGACCCTATATTTAAGGAGACAGACAGCGAGGAAGGGAGAAGTGCACAAACCTGAGCAGGCCCCGTGATTAAGTGTTAAGACTGGGAAAACAAGGACACGAGAGAAGACAGGGAAGTGCCTTGGGAGAGAAAGCAGGTATGCTCACGGGGATTCCACCTCGAGGTCCCCGAGGTCCTGGGAGACTAATGAACCCAGAACAGAAGAGGAAAACTGAGAGGATTTTTTAAAGATACAATTCAGACACGCTGAAAAAGAACAGAGAGCTGGGGTGGGAACCCCTGTATCTCCCCCATGTAACCCAACCAACTAATCTTAGCATTTTTTCGTATTTGCTCCACATTGGTCTTTAGGAATAAAACCAGGTCTGAAGTCCTGTTTGTGTGATGCCCCAATCCTGCTGCCTCTGTTCCCTGATCTGAAGTCAATTTGTAGCCTTCCCATCTGTGGTTAGTTTCGTTTTGCATATTGGCATATTTTTTTAACTTTACAGAAATGGTACTGTTATTTTACATTTGTAATGATTTTTAAAAATAATTACCTGCTGGAGACTTTCATGTGTATGAATGTAGCTTTGGTTCAGTTCTTTTAGCTGTTGTATAGTATTCCATTGCAGGATGTTATACTTCAGATCCATATGTGACTGATGAACATTTAGGGTTTTTGTGTGTTCCACGTTACAACTACGCTGAAGCGAGCATCCTGTGACATTGTGTGGATTTGAAGGACTGTTGCAAGTCCCCTAACTGGCTGGACGTTCCCGACTGCTCCCTAAGCACTTGTATGTGTTTGCTTTCCCATCAGCAATCTGAGAGTTTCCCCTTTCCCCCAATTCTACCAACACTTGGTATTGTCAGATTTCCCATTTTGTCTAACTGGGTGGGTGTTATCCCCTTTCGGTTGTAGTTTGCAGTGAGGTTAAACATCTGTCATATGTGTGTTGGCTGTGCACGTTTCCTTGTCTGTATTTGTTCATATTCTTGGCCCGTTTTTCATTTGGATTATTTTTCTTTTACTTTGGGATATTTAAGCCTCTTGAAATATATATTTTGGAGAGATGGTAATCTTTGAGCAGTGATTAATATATACACCCCAAGTATCTGGTGGGAGTGGCTTGCCTCCCTCCCTCCTTAGGAGTCTTTTGCTGTGCCAAAGTAATTTTAAAATGTTAATGTTGTTAAGTGTATCAGGCTTTGGCCTTTATGGTTTATGTCTTTGAATTTTCTTTAAGAGATCCTTCCGTACCCTTGAGATTTTCTAAAAGCTTAATTTTTATTTTCATAATTAGATTTTTAATTCATTTGAAATTTTTTTTAATAATAGTATTTAGTAGGGACCTAATTTTGTTTTTCTATATCTGTAACCAGTTGTTGCAGTTGTCTGAGCGGTTTCTCCTTTCCCCCGGGTCTGTAAAACTCTCCAGACATACCCATACCAAGTTTCCGTAAATGGGTAGATGGGTTCCTGAGCTCACCACTGGTACTTGCTCTCCCAGGCCAATGCCTCACCAGGTGATTGAAGCAGAAACGTGGGTGTTGAAAAGAGAAGATGGGACCTCTCCTGAGAGCTTCTGTTCCCAGGATTCTAGAGGCAGAGGGTATGTCAATCTAAAATTATACCAAATCTCCTAAAATAGTATAAAGCTACAAAATTATAATAGTGTGGAATTGTTGTAGATATTGACATACGTATCTACTGGATAAAAAGTCCTGGAGTGAAGCCCACTTTTCTCTCCCCCCTGCCCGGCCCCTCGTAGCACTACGGTTAGGAAGGAGAACGCAGCATGTGCAGGGAAGCTTATCCACCCCACTCAAGTTGTGTATTCCCCTTATTCCCTCCACAGGCTTCCTTGGCTTCTTATTGCAGCCTGGAGTTCATGACTGCAGTGTCTAGTGCTATGTCCCCTTTGCAAGGACCTCAAGGTGGGACAGACCCACTGCCCTGAGTGGCCTCAGGGTCTGGAGTAAATCTGCCAGCATTCAGATCCTGGTTCTGCCAGATACTTACTGTGTGACCTGGGGATAAGTCTTAAACTCTTTGAGAATAAGGATTAGGTTCAGCTCTATGTAACACAAATGGCAGTGGTTTAAACAAGATGCTTTATTCTTTCGCAAGCATAGGCTGCTTGGAGAGGGCATGATAGTTCATGGTATTGGGCCGGGTGCCTGTCGTCTTGCTTTGATGTCCTTAGTATGTGGCTTTAACCTCGTGGCCCAGACTGGCTACCAGGTTCTAGCCATCAGATCACACTCCTTCCAGCATGAGAGGAGGATAGAAAAGGATGCACTTCCTCCTCTTAAAAAAAAAAAAAAAAAAAACACTTCCCAAAGTTGCATACAGCATTTCTGCTTATATCCAATTGGCCATTAGTCACATGGCCATACCTAGCTAAGACTAGGAGACTGGGAAATATCTCTATTTCCAAGTGGTCACATGTCCCCCTAAAGAGGAGAAGGGAGTATGCAGTTATGGCATGTCTTTTGGTTCATAGATAAAGTTACCAAAACAATGAGAAAATGGAGTCATGGGGGATAGTGTGAACCACAAGCCGATGTCTTCAAAGAAGGTAAAGATGTGTCCTGGGAGTCAGAGATGACAGCAGGGGGAGGTCAAGGTAGACTGCCAGCCTGAAGGTAAAACAATGAGCGGTGTGATGGAGGTGGACCTGCAGTCAGAGTGGCCAGTGAGTTAGGAGCTGCTGAGCCCTCCCACCATCAGCCCTGTGCCGAGGGCCCGCCAGGGGCTCGCTGACAGCACAGCCCACGTGGATTGAAAGATGATCATACCACCTGATGTGGAAACTCTCCTGCGGTTGGTTCATGATTTGGTGATGTGTTTTATGTTCACATGAGTTGAATGGGGAAGCAGGGTCCTGGGGTCACCTTCTGAGAAGGAAGGGCCCTGTAAATCACCTCCTTTCTTTCAGCTACTCAGGAAGGGCATTGAATTTGTGGGCAGCTTCAAATGATGGTGGGGAGGAAGGGTACAGTGTGAGTAAATGGCCAGAGGGCCTTGGGGAAGCTTTGAGGAAATTGGCCAGGAAGTGCCTGGGGGCAGGCAGGAGATACTTGTCAGGTAAGCAGGGGAACATGGGACACCTTAGGAAGTACCTCAAGGCAGTGGCTGTGGACTTCCTGGAGATTAAGATGACAGACCCTTCCCCAGGGCCAACCTTGTGCCAGCCTCATACTGAGTTCATGTGGTTAACGCATTTAATTCTCATAACACTGGGAGGTAGGAATTATTCTTATTTCCATTTTACAGATGAGGAACCTGAGGCATGGAGGAGCTAAATGACTTGTCCAAGATCAAGCAAGGAGTAAGCAGAGTGGTTGGTCTACAAACCCATGACATTTGGTTTATAAAAATATATGCTCTTAATGCATACAAACAGATGCTGCCTGCAGTGTGTACTTGATAGCAAGTGTAGGCTGCTACCTTCCCGTCAAGTCCACACAAAGCCACCCAGTAGAAATGGGTGGGACAAAGAATTTCTCTCAACTGACAGGAGGCGTTTCAAACATTCAGATCAAATGTTTAAAATATATATATTTCAGCATTAAAGGAGATACCAGGGAGGAAGCGGCAACATTGCCTGAAATTGAAATAAGTGAACCCATATTAATAACTTCAAAAAGTGAAGACAGTTTCCACACCCCGCATCCAGCGAAGGCACAGCAGTGCCGAGAGAGGCTGTGTAAGCATGGAGGTGCAGCAGACGGCCTCAGAACAAAAGACCGTGGAGCAGAACTGACGGGACAGAGCACGGACTGGCTCTGAAAACATCTGTAAGCACGTCCACGCTAACATGCAGTCAGATCAGATCTACAGGAGAACCACGCAAGAGAAACAATACAAGCTTTTTACAATGTGGTCTGCCAATGGCAGGGACACCAGGGAAAACAGAAGAGGCCAAAAACAGAG